AAAGTGCTGAGGATCCACCACCTCCCCCGGGGAACAAGGGGAGCGCCCGTCCTCCGCTCCCACAAAGTCCGCACCACCGAGTGTCCGTAATTATTTAGCTTAAGGATAATCTACATCTTTCAGAGACAGCCAGCCATCATCTCCGAGGTAATCTCAGGTCACGGAGTCAGAAGGAAGAGTAATCAGCCGTTCTGAGTGTGGAAGACACAAAGAAACAAGCAGTAAGAATCAGAGGGTGGTAGGAGGTTTATCATAAGCAGGGTGTTGTGCCGCTCATCTCCTCCCTGTAGCTGGAGCAGCTCCAGCTCCTGGCCCCTGGTCCTCACCCCTGCTCTGCAGTTTGCCACCTCCTCTCTCCTGCTAATGCAACTCATCACGGGGCTGGAAATAGGACCAGCGTGGTGATGTGAGCTTAGAGCAGAAAGTGCTCTGGGCAGACGGCCGCTCCGAGCCCGCCTGGCTAACTGGATTAGCTCCCAGAGCTGCTCTCACTGTAATCACATTGCCTCCCCAGCCCAGCCCAGCCCAGCCCAGCCCTCCTCCTGGCTCCACACCTCCCCCTTTGGGGACGTTTTTCACCATACTGGTGATGGGTTTTACAGGCCCTTGCTCAGCACGGCCAAGGGGCAGGGACAGACCTGGACCCAAGGATGATAGGAGGGAACACTCTGCAGAAAATACCCCCAGAACGACTGCTGTGACCTGCTGCAGCTGCAGGATGGGTTCAGCACTCAGGGAAGTTCAGCCAAGTCTTATAGTGGCAGCAGAGAAGCAACTGGAGCCCCACTTCCCTCACGTCCCCTGGAGACCAAGGTGGGAGAGCTGGAGCACACCGACAATCACGGTCTCCCCCACGGGCAGGAAAAGCCCACGGGGAGCACAGCTGGAGCATCACAGATGGATCCCTCACGGCTGTCTCTTCACCCATCTCCTGAAGTGGATGCTGCATGCACTGTGTGTTTGTGTCTCCCAGAAACTAGAAGCTTGGCTCTAAACCAGCTGCTCTAGAAGGAGCCAACACAGGCCTCACAGAAGGTGCAGCCTCCAGGCTTGACACCATCCTCCCAGGAGACATTGCTGGAGGCAGCGACAGCTCTGCAGAGCCACCTCCCTGAGCCAGAGGGACCTTCCTGCCCTTGGTGCTGCCCTACACAAGGCATGTCTCAGGGCACCTGGAAAAACAAGAGGTCAGATCCCAAAGCCCCACATCCCTCTCATTTCCTACAGCTCCAAGAAGTCAGCACCGTGTACCTTCCCTCTATCAGTGTGGCCAGCCCAGCCCCACCTCTTCAGCTGTGCCAATCCTGCTGGGCATCCTGTGCCCCACCAGGCAAGGATGGTGGGACAGCATTACCAGAAGTGTTGAAGGAGGAGCTGCAGGGGCTGGGAGGAGCTGCTCCCTGCTCAGCATCCCTTTCTGCAGCCCCAGCAGGGTGCTGGCACACACGGGCACGTCCCTGCCTGGCACAGGGGCCGTGCCAGCCCCTCACTCCCAGCCCAGCCCACGTACCCTGGGTCAGGCTCCGGGCACAGCGAGGTGAGCTGCCTCCTGCCTCCAAGAGCCCTGCCTGGAGCCCAGAGCAGCCAGGGGAGGCTGGTGCCTCCAGGTGAACCTGCCCGTTCCCAGCCCACAGACACTAGTATCCAACGAGCTGTCAGCCAGGAGCAAAGCCAACAGATCACCTCTCCCTGGTGAGACAGGGCTGCTTGTCCCAGCTCCTGCCTCCCGCTGCTCGGGCATCCCCAGAGACACCTGCCCCGAGGCACCAGCTGCTGCAGACTGGTCCCAGCAGCCCCAGACTGGTCCCAGCAGCCCCAGCTGCAGCCCACCCGTGTCAGGCTCCTGCCCACAGCCTGGCCCTGGCTGTGGCTGCCCCCCCCTGCTCTGAGCCTGTGTGCCCACCGAGGTCCTGTCCTGCCCACGCTGGAGCTGCAGCCTCACACGGTGCTGCTGCCCCTTCCCCACGCTTTGCATTCTGTGTTTCAGGATCAGGTTTGGTTTAAAATCCCATCCTGGGTACTTTATACCTTGCTGGGATGGGAAATGGTGCTATAAACTTAGTAAGTGTTTTGTGGTTGCTCTCACGCTCCTTTTCTTTGTCCTGGCCCCACATGCTACCAGCAGGATTTCCATCAGCTTTGGCAGAGCAAGACACAATCCCCTTGTCACTACCTTGGAGGGCCCATGCTGGCTCTCCACTGCACCCCAGGAGCACCCTCTCGGCTGCTGGGGACCAGAAAAGCCTTGGAAAGGTTTGCGTTGTCTTCCAGAGCATTTTTTCACCCACTCAGTGGCCAGGTCCTTCCACAACATGGGGAGCATTCTCCAGGGCTTTGCTCTGAGCCACATGGCTTGTCAATCTAGCGGAGAGGCAAGAACCCACCCCCTGCCAGAAACACAGTCTGGGGTGGGGAGGACAAACAGCAATATCACCCAAAACCCCAAACGGACCCAGAGCCCGTGCCACGATGGAGAGACACCAAGATCCCTCCTTTTGGGACCTGAGATGCTCAGATATGACTTTCCCCAGAGGATCCCCCAGCCTGTGGCTGGATCACTCCCAGCCAAGAGCAGAGCCACGACAAGCCCCCAGCAGCAGCCCCATCACCTGTCCCCCCACCCCATGCCAAGCTGCCTGGGACCTCCTGCCCGGGCACCACGTTCTGCCAGCAAGACACGTGGCAGGAGACCAGGAGACTCAGCAGAGTGTGGTCACCACTGCACCAGCTGCCCTGGGCTGTTTGCGTTCTGGAGCCCGGGTCGGGAGCTGGGTTCTCAGGCTTTGTGTGTTGTTGCTATTTTAGTCCATCTGAAACGTGCAGGAACAGGAATCCGGAGGCTCTGTCTCCCGCAGAGATGTTTGTGCTGACCCACTTTGGGAGGCTGCAGAGCAGCAGCCACGTCCCCCTGCCCCGGCTCTCGCCCCCGCCGACAACCGAGGCCGGACCCACGCGGGGCAGGGGCTGCTCCACCACCAGGCACCAGCCAAGGGGAGGTGTCGGGGGGGCTTTACCCCACAGACCCCCACCTGCCCCACTCCCAGGGCTTTAAACACTCAGCACGGCGTGTTCCCCTTCCCCCAGCAACAGTCCCTGGAGGATGAGGTGACTCCAGCAGAGACTGTCACCATCCCAGAGAACTCCGTGGGGCAGCCCCAGCCCCCGAGCCGGGCAGAGGGGAGGGTGACCACAGCCACGCAGGGCAGGCGTGCCCGACAGTGTTCACACCCTCTCCACACAGATTTCTCTTGCCAGTGCTGCTGAGACAACACTCTCAGGCCAGGCTGAAGCTCCTCAGTGTGGGAAAAGTCCTGGTGCTGCCTGGGTGTGACAACCAGCACTCATCAAACGACCTCTCTGTGCTCCGAGGTCACTTGTGGCCTCTGCATCAAACACTGGAGCCCACAGGAGTGCACAGAGGGGACAAATCTCTGTAGCACTGCTCCCAGGACCTCAGCCTTTTAAGCTGGCCCCGGAGGGGACGGTCTGAGCGCCTCCCTCTGCCCCCAGCCCTGCCCTGGAGCTGAGCTCCGGGGTCCCTCTGGCCTGCGTGGCCTCAGCTGCCCGGAGAGCAGAGCTGGGAGGTGCCAACACAGCGTGGGCTCCGCGGGCACTAACACAGCATCTGCCTCCCCACGCGGGGCAGAGCTGCAGAGCAGCAGCGCCTGAACACAGACCCCTCCTCACCTGGCAAGAGGAGAGCCCCCCGAGCACCTCCCCAGAGCCAACCCTGCCCAGGCAGGGCCCCGCCACGCCCCGAGCAGGGTCTGACAGCTCCCCTGGGCTCTCTTACCTTGCCCTCCGCAGGAGCCGATGCCGGATGTTGCTGCTTGGTGATGTTCTCAGCCAGACACCAGCAGATCCTCTTCTTCTGCTCCTGGGAGTAAGCCTCCAAACTTAATAAGCACTCCGACTTCTGACGTAAAGGAAACACAGGCAGGGAGAAGGTCATTAGCTGCGTGTGGCGGGCCCCGGCTTCGCTTGCAAACTACTCGCTCCCCACACGCTCCATCAGATGGGTGTAAGTGCAGGGGAGAGCTCGCAGCAGCAGCCTGAGCTCTGGGCAGCAGAGAGCTAAAACGAGGGGAAAACGGCTCCACAGGAGGGATCTCCTCCAGAGAGAGGGTGAAAGGCTGCCCTGGTGCAGAGCAGCAGACTTCTGCTTTCCTCAGCAGGTGAGGCACGGGCAGAGCACCAGCGACTCTGCACCCTGTGCCACCACGGTGGAAACGTGTCTCTGGAGCTAATTTAGAAGGTGGAAATTACTCTTGGCTCTATGCAAATATTAATGAGCAGCAGGACCTGATGAAAACAAGTGCCTTGGGGCTGGGTGAGGCTGGGAGGAAGGCAGAGCCCAGGAGGAGCTCCAGAGCAGCCTCGCCTGGGCTGCTCCTCGCTCAGAGCACACCTCAGGGGTTGTTCTGAGGATGATGCTCCAGCCCTGGTCACACGCTGACAGAGAGGAAGAAATTCAGGGAAACGATGGGAATTCATCCCAGCTGAGACCACCCCACATCATGGCCTTGTCCCTTCCCTGCACACAACCTGTCTGATATGGACCTGTTCCTCTTGGACAGGTTTTCTTTGGGTCACATCCCATTCATTTCAGAAACCTTCTGACCAAGTTCTCTCAGAAGTGTCTCCCAGCCCTTGAACGGCTCATCTCTTGTGCTAAAAATTAAGCTTTATTAGCATTTGCTGCCCACTGGGGATTTTGCAGGTTTTGCTTTAAAAAGGGTCCTGAAATGGATCCATGATGATCCATGGGTGGATCACCTCTTTCTGTGGCAAGAGAAAAAGAAGAGAAAGAAGAAAAGAAAGGGGAAAGAAAGGGGAAAAGAAAGGGGAAAAGAAAGGGGAAAAGAAAGGGGAAAAGAAAGGGGAAAAGAAAGGGGAAAAGAAAGGGGAAAGAAAGGGGGAAGAAAGGGGAAAAGAAAGGGGAAAAGAAAGGGGAAAGAAAGGGGAAAAGAAAGGGGAAAGAAAGGGAAAAGAAAGGGAAAAGAAAGGGAAAAGAAAGGAAAAGAAAGGGAAAAGAAAGGGAAAAGAAAGGGAAAAGAAGAATAAAAAATAAGAATAAGTAATAAAAAAGAATAAAATAAAATAAGAATAAGAATGAAATAATAATTAAAAAAAGAAGAAGAAAAAGGCTGAACTTTAGGATACAACTACAAAGAAAAAAAGTCTTCCACCAAAGGGCATGAAAAGTGCCTTTCATTTCCCCCTCGGATTTCCTTCCAGAAGGGCAGGTCTCCCTTAGCCTGTTTTTCCCAGAAAGGTTGGAGACAACTGAGAAACTTGCAGCTTTGTGACTCCAGAGACACAACACAACCAGCAAGGGAAACACTTCTCATCACACCATTTAGCCACTGTTTTCATTGGATGCTAATTCATTCCTGTTCACTCCAAACCCCCTGCTCAAGCAGTTTTCTCTGGAAACAGAGAGCTCTAGCTCAGTCCTTCGCCCTTCCAAGGAGACTTCCAGGAAAGAGAGCTGATCTTTCTGGACATCACCACATCCATGCCTTCAGCAGGACCAGGCTGAAGCACTAAAAATCCCTGAGAGGCCTCCTGAGCACTGTTGGAATGGGAAGAAAGGTTTGTGGCTCAGGGACACAAGGTGGGGGGCTCCCCCTTGCTCCCCACACCCCAAGTCACAGTGATGCTCTGAGCACCCCCTGGAGCATCACCGTGCTCCCTCCCATCCCAGATGTCCCAGTCTCCCCAGTCCCATGCCAGCAGATCCCAAGGCATGGGATCTGTCACAGATCCACTGTGACACCCACTCCTCCCTGGGAAGGTACCCAATGGGTCCTGTGCTCAGAAGGGAGGATGGACACCCACCATTGGGCTGGAAATCTGGGCTGGCATCTCCCCACCCTGCACTTGGGGCCAGAAAGGAACGATGGCAAGGACCTGGCAGAGCCTGGGAGTCATCAGCGTGGCTGCAAGGAGCCCAGTGCTCCCACTGGTGCTGCAGCTCCTGCACACTCCTGTCCCTGCTGAGCTCCTGCAGCTCCCCAGCTGAGACAAAGCGAGCCAAGGACACCTTGTATCCCCCTAAAGCATTTCCAAGGACACCTCGTGTCTCCCTAAAGTGATTCCAAGGACATCTCGTGTAGCCCTGCTTGTGAGGGATGCATGGCTCACCTGCCCCTGCTCTGCAGCCCTGATTCCATTACAGGGCCCATCTCTTTGATTGGATTTAGCAGAAAGCAATGCTCAGCTCACACTGGCTGCTGAAATCAAGGTGCCCCTCTCCTCTCTGCTCAGCCTCAGCCAGCCAGAGAGAATCCCTGGCCCCAGCTGCCTGGGAATGTTAGAGCCAGAAGAGGAGGTTGCCCCTCTGGGCTGGTCTGGGTATTGGGGGCAAGGCTGGGGGAACAGGAACAGCCAAAACTGCACTTATCCAAGCTGTATATATTCCCCTACCACTCCTGTGCTACAGCACCAAGATCTCAGCACTTTATTGCTCTGCAGTGGTAGTTAAGCTCTCAAACACACACTTCCCAAGGGAAGAGCAGAGCTCTGTCATCTCCCTCTTCCACCAGCCTGCCCCCCTCCCCCAGGAACATTCAGCTGTGCTGGGGAAAGGGACAGCCCAACCCACAGGGGCTGAGCACCCCCAGCCACCTCCAAAGCACAGGCTGCTGCTTCCAAAGGCCTCTGGGACCCCGGCAGCCAGGGACAGGCACGTGCAGGGCTGAGCATTGCAGGGGTGAACAGCAGCTAAATTACAGGCTGGATGGATGGGCCAACTGTGTGAGATTCAACAAGGCCAAGAGCTGGGTCCTGCACTTGGGTCACAACAGCCCCAGGCAGCACTCCAGGCTGGGGGAAGAGTGGCTGGAAAGATGCCTGCTGGAGAAGGACCTGGGGGGTTGGTCAATGGCTGGCTGAAGATGAGCCAGTGTGTGCCCAGCTGGCCAAGAAGATCACCAGAATCCTGGCCTGGATCAGCACTGGTGTGGCCAGCAGGAGCAGGGCAGGGATTGTGCCCCTGGACTCAGCAATGGAGAGGCCACACCTCAAAGCCTGGTGTCAGTTTAGGGTCCCTCACTCCAAGAAGGACCTTGAGGGGCTGGAGCATGTCCAGAGATGGGCAACGGAGCTGGGGAAGGGTCTAGAGCCTGAGTCTGGTGAAGAGTGGCTGAAGGGTCTGGGACTGTTGAGCCTAGAGCAGAGGAGGGT